TGTTCTTCCCCATCAAAACCTCTTGTGGTTCTTCTGTCCAGCAGAACTGGCGTCATATGTCCTAATGCATCTCCAATAAGTAGCTGTAAACTCAAATGCATATTCTTCTCAGGGGGTTGTATAGAGGAAAAGCACAAATCTTACTCATGAATGAAGGTTAATACACTCATTTTACATTGACAAATTCCTTTAGGATACAGTGAACAAGGAATAGGTAGATGACCTGCCTTAACACATCCAACAGCTACTCATGCTCCTACTAATACCACTTCTGATGCACAAAAAGCATTGTTTACCTCTATATTCTTTGCTATTGAGCACCAAAAACAGTTGTGATAACACAAGGGACTTTTTTTATCACCGTCATTTTATATATAAAAAAAATCCCTTATGACTCCCTCAGGACTGCTTCAAAATCATTTCAGTGTGATATGTACAGAACGACTAATGCATTTTCGTACTAAAAAACACTACTCCTTGACATTAGAATCCTGAAAGGGATTCCTACAAAAAACTTAAATATTAAATGAAATCCTATGAGTCTTCCACAAACTAAACCATAAGTGCCATGGATCTGGTCACTGCCGCTGTATTCTACCCTCTAAGGTCCAGCAAGTGCACCCATTGTAAGCTGTCAGCTTCTTAGCTATCATATCTCTTTTCCTCCTGACCAAACTATTTCCAGACTGCACAGCTCCCAACTTATATGGTACACTAAGCAGGCCTGCTTTACTTTTTTCCTCAGAGATGGTAATCAGTGCAATAGTTACAGTTTAGTTACCATCCAGCTCCTTCCAAGAAAATACATTTATTCTTAAGATAAAAGCATTACCAGGAAAACATATTAAAAACAGTGAAAGAAGGTACACACATACTAATAAACTTACTAGAGATTAAGCATACTTATGAGTAAGTCAGTTACTCCTTTGTAATAGTTTGTCTTTGAAATGTTCTCATGCAAACAGTCAGCAGCAGAAAAAGTCCCCTCTTCAGGCCACATGAATTTTCATGAATAATTCTTTTCAGTGTTCACAGCTGTGACAATATTTACTGGAATTCCGTTTTAGAAGCTCCCCCTACTGGCTAGCATGGAACTCCTGTAACTGCAACCAAGCAGCTGTTTTCAGGCTCTGCCCCCCACCCCTC